ACACGCCGAGCCGAGCAGCCCCGCCGGGAGCAAGGAAAAACGGAGTGAAAACGTAAGGAGGAAGATAAATCCTGCCGGAAAGGGTATCTCTGCAGGGCAAGGAGAGGTCGCTGCCGGGCGCTCCAGCCCCGACGGGGAGGGGGGAAGCCGGGCGGACGGTAGCGGTGGTCCCGACCCTCGGCCGCGGGCTCCACGATAAGATGTGCTCTCTCCCAGCAGGATGGCTGTCGAGCTGAAAAGCAGCGGATCTGCCTGAAATCTCAACACAAAAAAAAAGTGGGGTTAAAGCCTAATTTGGGTAGCTGTGATGTCCCGGTGCTCTTCTCTCTGCACAGTGATGCACAGCATTAGGAATATGCCTGTGAAAGATCCCTTAAACTTTGGTTTCTACGAGAAATCGTCCTAACTCCAGAATGCAGGGAGGGCTTTATCTGTAATTTTTATGATGTTGAAATTATTTAAAAGTATGGTCACAAAGGCAACTCAAAATTTAAGGACGGGGTCAGTGAAAGTCTGGGGTCCCTCAGCCCTCCCTGCAGAAGGTGGGAACTCTGGCTGTTAAGTACTTTGCCAGTGGCTTCTATGGTTCCTGACCTCAAATACATGCACATTGAGGCATCATGCTCTTGACACACCTAAATTATCTGAAAACCTTTGTTCCTATGATGTCATTGATTATTTGGGAGCATGCAAAAGGAAGGACTGGACCCTAGTCTTACACAGAATTAGGAGCCACCAAGTATTTTGTCATACTCCAGAAGCTCAAGGACTCAGTCTTAACCACAGCAAGTTCATAAGGGGTACAAGTTCCTTGAATGGCTAGCAAAATAATTCCCTATAATTTTTTGCTTACATTAGCCTTCAATCAAACTTTAGCTTTAATATCACCTAGGGGGAGGAAAAAAAGTGGGAGTTTGCCCTTTTGGAGGGAGGGTTAAGTGCTTTTTGGAGTATTTGTTCTGGATGTCTATATCAATAGTCTGTCTTGCACACTTTCAGTAACCATTCAAGAAAGGATCAAAGTCCCATTCAGTAACAACTCTTATTAGCGAAATAGGAAAAGAAGCAATGCAGCATACCTTGTATTTGTTATACATTTATGAACAATTATTAGAAACCAGTGTTTCTAGCTATGAGCATCTAGTCACATGATAACTGAATTTATCACATTGTATCTGTAACCTACAAGATTTTTCGCATTGTACCTGATCATTCGCACCTATGAGATGGAGTATGTTCATCTGGCAATAGGGGGTTATTAAAACTAATTGACAAGGGAGAAAGCCTATTCTTGCTTTGATTTAGACCAGACTTGAGACCAAAGTCAGACTGAACCTGAGACCTTATTCTCTTTACAGCATGACTATAATATATATATAGCGATAAGCATGTCGTGCTGGTTAAATTATTGTATTGCAAAATACAGTAAATCCCCTTCATTTTCTTGTGATCATACAAAAAATCATATATACATTTCTCAGACTGAACTGAGGCTCAAGAGACAGGTAAGGCCAGAGGTGGACAGTGAGTTATTAGAGAGAACTGTGTTGGGGTTTAATTTCACACTTTAAAGCATGTTTAGATCCTTAGAAAACATCTATAGTCAGAATAAGTGTTTCTCTTACTGAAAATGTTGATTTCTTTTCCTTATTGTGGTATGAAAACCATGGGCAAAAAGGAAAAACACTGGATTAACCTTTTTTTTTTGCAGCTGAAGAGCGTGGCTGCACAAGAAGTAAATTTCCCTGACACAACAGAGATAGTAGCAGCTAATATGTATGTTTTTATTTTCACATGACAGGTTATGAGATATGCATACAGGTACTGCAAACTTTTTTTGTGTCCTAGCCTGAAAATTTTCGGTACAGCAACACAGTTTAGGATATTTTCCTTCTTTTTGGTGGTTTTATGCATCCAGCTAGCAAAACGAGAACTTTGATCCTGATTACATGAAGGGATACTGATGATAACACACAGAAATACAGCCTTTAAAGCCATGCAGTATATTAAAGATCCGGGGCAGTACAGTACAGCTGGCTTCTTTGCATCGACCATGCTGTGTAACTTTTCTAAAATTTTTGCATGTTACTTTTAATTAGGACGATAGAATACACTTTTGCACTTGCATTATGAAGCAAACCACAATTGTTTTTTAGCTTCCCAATATTAAATCATAATTCACACAGGTGTAAGGGAGATGCAGGAACTGTATGCATGGCTTCCTTTGAAACACAAACATAGGAGCAGCCTTAACATACAGGACTCACGATCCATCTCGTCTACTATTCTGTCTCTTGGAGTGGAGACTAACATATATTTCAGAGAAGGTTATGAAGAACTTCAGAACAGACAGGTACTAAATCAGCTCTTCACAAAGAGCAATCATTCTAAGCCACTCACAAAGAGGGGCTCACTCATGGTCTTTTATAAACAAGTAATCCTAAAAACAAGGTGGCAGTGAGGTGATTGTTACTATCAAATTGTTCTCAGTAAACCGCATCCATTTTTCAGGCATGTACACTAGAATGTGAAGGAAAACTACCTTCAGCCAAAGCCTGGGAGACCTGCAAGGAGCTCTTGCAACTGACAAAGCTGGATCTTTCTGAGGATGGCAACATTGCTCCAGGAGACAAGAAAGAGCTGGATGAGAACCATTTGCTTGCGAAGAAGTATGGAGGCTTCATGAAAAGATATGGGGGATTCATGAAGAAAATGGATGAGCTTTATCGGGCAGAACCAGAGGATGAAGCTAACGGAGGAGAAATCATGGCTAAGAGGTACGGAGGGTTTATGAAGAAAGACTCGGATGACGATGCCCTTGCCAACTCCTCTGATCTGCTGAAGGAGCTTCTAGGAACAGGGGATAACCCTGACGCAGCACATTATCGAGAGATAAATGAGAACGACGGGGATGTCAGCAAAAGATATGGAGGCTTCATGAGAAGCGTAAAGCGCAGTCCTGAATTGGAAGATGAAGCCAAAGAGCTGCAAAAGAGATATGGTGGTTTCATGAGAAGAGTGGGCAGGCCAGAGTGGTGGCTGGATTACCAGAAACGATATGGAGGGTTTCTTAAGCGCTTCGCCGACTCCATTCTCCCTTCAGAAGAAGATGGGGAAACTTATTCCAAAGAAGTCCCAGAAATGGAAAAGAGATATGGTGGATTTATGAGATTTTAATACCTTTCCCTTTATCCCTTTTGTCCTAAATGAGAAAGACTGCCTTATTGGTCATAACTTATTGTAACGTGTTGCTTGTAATGTACAGTTTTTTACTGTCCTTGGTTAATGATGCAACCTGCGATTTGTTGTTCCAGGTTCTGTGTTCTTTCAAGTCAAATAACGAATTTCTGGTTTAGTCAAGTTTCAGTCTGTATTGTAGTTTCCATGCTAGAACTATTTTGACTACTGTATTCATTTTCTTTAAAGAGGAAGTACATCCACAGTAGAGTTGCTTACCTGTATATACAATAAATTCTTCATCCTAACTGCAAAAATTCTGAAATGTTGTTTTTCTCTCCTTTGTTTAATCAAATACCATCTCAATTTTTCTTTAAGCAGGGAGAGCAATGCCAGCCTTATTTCTGTAGTTACAGAATTTGTACTTTACACACAACAGTTGAAACACATTTTTGTCTTTAGTCACACAGAATCACAGAATCAGACCCAGGACAATGGGTCATTTGGTTCAACCTCCTACTTGAGCAGGGCCATCCTAGAGCACACAGCTCAGGATTGCATCCAGACGGTTCTTGAATACCTCCAGTGAGGGACAATCCATGACCTCTCTGGGCATGTGCTCAGTAACTTGCACAGTAAAGTAGTTCTTCCTCATACTCAGGTGGAACTTCCTGTGCATCAGTTTTTGCCCATTACCCCTTGTTTTATTGGTTTCTACAACAGACAAGTCTGGCTCCATCCTCCTGGCACTTCCCATTCATTTACTTGAATACATTAATGAGGTCCCCTCTCAGTCAGCTCTACTTGAGACTGAGCAGGCCCAACTCCCTCAGCCTTTCCTCATAAGTGAGGTGCTCCAGTCACTTAGTCATCTTTGCTGCCCTCTGTTGGACTCACTCCAGGAGCTACATGTCCCTCTTGGACTGAGGAGCCCAGAAGTGGACACAATACTCCAGATGTGGCCTCATGAGAGCTGAGCAGAGAGACTGGATCCCCTCCCCTGACCTGCTGGCAATACTCTTCTTAATGCATCCCAGGATTCTATTTGCCTTCTTAGCCACAAGGACACTTATAAACAGCCTGTTGTCCACCAGGACCCCCAGGTCCTTCTCTACAGAGCTGCTCTCCAGCAGGTCAGTGCCCAACCTGTACTGGTGCTTGGGGTTATTCCTCCGCAGGTGCAGGATCTGCATTTGCCCTTGTTGAGTTTCTGTTGGTTCTGTTCTGCCCATCTCTCCAACCTGTCAAGGTCCCTCTGAAGGGTAGCACAGACCTCTGAGGTATCAGCCACTCCTCCCAGTTTTATATCATCGACAAAGTTGCTGAGAAGGCAACTCTGTCCCCTTGTCCAAGTCACTGATAAGTTGCACAAAACTGGGCCCAGTATGGAACCCTGGAGGACACCAGTAGTGGCAGGGCTCCAACCATAATACCGGCCCCTCCTCTCTCTGTGCCACTGATCTCTCCAGGATCTTCTGCTCAGCCAGTTTTCAATCCATTTGACTGTTCACTCGTCCAACCTACAATTCTTTAGTTTTCTGATGAGGATGCTGTGGAAGACAGTGTTAAAAACCTTGCTGAAATCAAGGTAGATGATGTCCACTGTTCTCCCTTCATCCATCCAGGCAGTTGTTTCATCGTAGAAGGCAATCAGGTTGGTCAAACACGTCTTACCTTTAGTGAACCCATGCTGACTACTCCTGATCACCTTCTTGTCTTCTATGTGGGCAAAGATGGCCTCCAGAATGAGACATTCCATTAACTTTACAGGGACTGACGTGAGGCTGACTGGCTGGTGGTTCCCCAGATCCTTCTTTTTGCCCTTTTTGAAGCCTGGGGTGACATTTGCCATCTTCCAGTCTTTGGGCATCTCTCCTGTTCTCCATGACTTTTCACAGATGATCGTGAGCACCCTGGCTATGATGTCGACCAACTTTCTCAGCACTCATTGATACATCCCACTGTGGCCCATGGACTTGTGGATGTCCAGTTTAATTAGGTGTTCTCTGACCCAATCCTCTCTGACCAAGGGAAAATATTTTTCCTCACCTTCATTTACCCTGGTCTCTTGGGTCAGAGATCCCTGCTGGCTGGTGTTATTGGTGAAGACTGATGCAAAGAAGGCATTCAATAACTCTGTCGTCTCTGCATCCTCTGTTATCATGGTCCTGCCTTTATTAACTACTGAGTCCATGTTATCCTTTGTTTTCCATTTGGTATTCATGTATTTTAAAAAGCTCATTTTATTATCCTTAATATCCTTGGTCAGATTAAATTCTAGGTTGCCCTTTGCCTTTCTCATCTCATATCTACCTGCTCTGGCCACCTCTCTATACTCACCACAAGTGGCCTGAGCCTGTTTCCACTTCCTATGCATTTCTTGCTTATGTTTCAGTAATGACAGGAGTTCTTGGTTCATCCACAAAGTTTTATCAGTTTCTTAGAATGCTAGAATAATAAATAAACTATAAAGCAAACATAACTGTATTTGCTCTAACTGCTCTCATTTTAATCTGTTAACAGAATAAATATTTAAAGCCTAAATTTATAATTCATAGTGTTCAGCCAATTCACATGGAAAACAAAAAATCACAAGTGTGTTTGATTTAAAGGACTAAAAACATTTCTCCAGTGCACAACACAATGACATGTTTGTTTAGTTACATCTTTTATATACATCTAATATAGGATTGTATACTTGGCCTTAAAGTAATAAACACTACCATAAAAAGTGGTAAGATGGTTTGTGCAAAATAAACATGACCCAAAACTGCATTAAAAATACCCCTTCAAAATCCTTATTTTATAGGGCACCTGACACACTGTTTTCTGTGGAGCAGCTTTGTGTTTGATTCCTCAGCTGGTGTATATCATTCTGGCACTACTGAAATATGGGAAACACCTCATCAGTCTTTTCTGCTTCAAACAAAGGCAGTATAAGTAAAACTGAGAATAAACAGAAAACCCAACACTAACAATGTAGATCCTTTGGCATTTACATAGGTGGCACTCACATCAAGGGCCACCTCCCATCCCACTGTGCATTTCCTTCCATAATTCTGACTGTCCCTCAAGATTGCTAGTCTATGAGGACTTTTCCCCTACATACTACTGCTAGTTACTTGTTACTTCTCACCTAAATTAACATGATGAAAATTGCTTTGAGCATTGGCACTGCCTAAAACCATCTGTGACACTGTATTCAGTATCTGTATTTCAGTTTTGCATGGTACTCTCTATTTACATAAAGGGCAAATTAATGCCTTGACTTTTCTTTAATTTGAAGTCAGTGAGAATATCTAGGTACTCAGGACTTTTGAAAATTAATATGTGTTTAAATATGCACTCAAAAGCTTCATCACATACAATTAGTTGTGATCTTTTTTGGCTTGGCCCTTAGAGGATGGTACTGGTGGTCTAAGTGGCCAAAAACTTGATAAACTGTAAGGCATTCCTTTTCTTTCAGTAAATAACAGGGCACCTATTTTCCTCTTCCTGCTGTATGGAATTGATAACACAAAATTTTAAAGCTCAGAAAATTCAAGTGCCTGTCGAAGCTCCATGGCCTTTTCAGGCTTCAGCTGTGCTCTCTATCACCTTTCTATAGACTTCTTCAAGATGCCACAGGCTGCAGGAAAAGTCTTCTTCCCAATCTTTCTTCCATAGCCCCTGCACAGTAGTGGCTGGAGAACCTCAGTCAGGCTCCTGGAACTCATCACTGGAGTGGTTTCATCCACAAGGGCCTGAGGCTGTGCACACTGAGCCTGCTCTGCGGCACAAACCCATGCATGGGCTGCAGGCAACAGCAACAGGTCTGCTTTAAACATACACTCCAGAAAGAATTAAAATGGTACCTTTAATCTTTCTCTTCAACATTTATTCACTTCTTTTCCCTAAAACTTACTTACCTCCAGTTTAGCCAAAGAGAGGCCCTCGCTGGTGTCAAACTAAAACAACCATTGGTGTACCTGATGATGCAAAAGGTTTACCAATTGTTGTGGCCCATCCTTCATAGTTAACAAAAACATGGTGATTTAACAAGGAATAAAACTCCCGAAGTTCTAGAGACCTGGTGTGTATACTGCAGAATGAAGTGTTTTGATCTAGTAAACCTTTCCATTAATATCAGTTTATATAGCAAAGAAAAAAATAGTACTTAATACAAACATCTAACTGGTATATATGCATGCAACCCAAAACAGGAATAAGAGTGGAGTAAGTCTCTTCCAGAGCTGAACAGGCAGATGGCAATCAATGTGCATGGAAGGGAGATCTGACTTTGATTCCCTGAAAGAAATAGCAAAGCTGAATTGTTCTCTTTCCTTCCATTATAACTGAAAACATCTCCAGTCAGACAATTTCTTACTTTGATAATTATAATTTAAAAGATGCAAAATTAGAATAAGATCCAATTTCCTCTGTTGATGTGGAATTTCATATTTTATGACTTTCAGTTATGCCATCACTCAGGTACTCTTTAAAGCTAAAGTGTTCTAACATTCTCAGTAATTAACATTTCAGATTAAATCAGCTCAAAATGTGCCAGTGAATCAATCAAGGTTTCCTGAATTGCAAATCAAAACTAAAGTTGAAGATAAGGTCTACTGAGCTGGGAGATGAAAAAAGGCATCTCACTCTTGGTCCAGCATCTGAAAGGCTCCCCTAATTCTCCTGTTACAATACACTCCTAGAACTGTCACTTCATCTGAAGGTTATTGAAATAGATGTATTGCTTTATATAAATAAAAGCAGAAAGGAAAGGCTGATGTATAGAAAGAAAATTAATTGCAAGAGTATTTCTGAAGGAATAAATGTCCTAAAGACCTAGAGTCCTAGACCTAAAGCAAGATTCTACATTTCCTATCCTGAGACCTAAAGCAAGATTCTACATTTCCTTTTGGCTCATATTCCAGAATATGATCAAATATAGTATCATTGGTCTGAATACTAAGTATAAAAAAATTAATATGAACAATGAATACAGGAAGGGTCTAGACCAGTCAAAGAGATTAATGCCTCTGCATTAGGAAGAAATAGATAGCTTAATTGAAGTCAGACAAGGATGAGTTGGATTTTTAAATAGGAACTAATTACAGGAAAGTACAAAAAAAAGCTAAAAAAGGATTTCCTGAACTAAATGGAGTTCAAATACAGGAGCAGATAGTGAGGGAGTGAGAAGCTGATGAATACAATGATTTCTGAATACCAAACTGCTTGCAGCTGAAGCTCTGCCTGAAAACCTAATCTTAAATCTTGGGATAATGAGGAAAGGTCATAAATTTATTCCCATATCTCATATGAACTTGGCATATTCTAT